ATGCACTGTCTGTTTGTCTGGACAGCTTGATCGATGTGGAAATGTGGAAAAAAAATACATAAAGGCATATAGAATGCTGATGGTGTAGAGGGCAACAAAGCAACAGTAAAAGCAGAACTCCAGGAATTCACTTACACTTTAAAATGTGCCAAATTATAATGAGTTATGTCAAAGCAAGGTGTATGACACCTCATGGACTTATGTCTTTTATTTGCAATTTACAGTTTTACTACTGTCCAGGAGTACAGCTATTATTATACTTCTCCCACTCTGACAGGAGCCATGATGCTTTCGCACACAGACGCTCTGCCCACCCGTCCCCCCAGCTGTCCATTCACAGAAGGCTTTGTATTTTGTGAATTAGTTCACATAATGCATAGCATTCTGTGATTAGGCAATAGTAGATGAGGGGGGTGGGCAGAGTGGCTGTACACAATGCTAAAGCAGCTGGATCTGAAACCAGAAGATCTGGCTCTCAGTAAAAATGTGGTCTGCACCTAACCATTGTTAGTTGGTACATTTTAAAAAAAAGTGACTGATTTCCCAGAGCTCTTCTGTAAAGAAAAGAAGCATGCAGGGAAAGGGAGTACACAAGCAAATAATCACACAAGAACGTGAACTCTAACAGACAATACAAGAGTGTCTCACAAAGAAAAACGAACAGTAAAGAACACCTTTCCTAAACAGTGTTCATAATTAGGGCGGTTGTATTTCCTGGCCACATATCTGGCCACTGAAGTGTATTCTTTAAACCTGCAAGGGTTTCAATTATGGCAATGGTTTGTAAGGGGAGTGACTGGTGCATGCTGCCAACTGTGGGGAACAATTGTGATTGAAGCAGGTTTCCAAACTTTCCCAATAGGCGTTCCTCTTGAGAGTTGTTGGCTTGCATGTGCATGTTAGCCTTCATAACCAAAGCCTTCATAGCCTTCATAAACCAAAAACAGCTGAAAGAGGAGTCATCAGATGTCTGTAGGCCATTTAACAGGCTACTACTGCACATGTGCACTGTACACAGAAAAAAGGGATCTGATCATCGGACATGAAAACATGACCCAGGCATCCAGCGGCAAACATGCTGCCATCAGGTGCAAAAACTTAAAAGCTCGGTTTAGGGGAGCTTATACATTTATCCTTAAGGAGAGACAAGAAGGGATGGATGCTAGATTGAGCTTCTGTCCTCTCATGTTCATAGATACTATAGGATTTGTATTGATGAGCCCATCCTCTGGTTAATCAAGGTAATTCAGTTAAGCCCTATTTTCTTAAGACCATTACCTCTGAGCTGCATTTTTTCCAAAACGTCCACCTTTGTTGTGAGTCTTTGTTAAAAATTATTTCAGCTATAAAACCAAATTATCTCACGCTTTGCTTCTACCTTTTTCAAGGTTAAAACATCTTTAGTGAAAACATCACCTCCTTCCTATTCTTGCCTTATGTCTATTTTGTATTTCTATTAAATGTGTTTATGTAGAAGAGCACATAACTAAGCAATAGATTGTAAATAACAATATTATGCAAAATGTCAGCCCCCTCAGCTTTAGAATGTATCCCTGAACAAGGGCAACTATTGTCATTCATGATTGCCTTCACTTTACCAGAAATACTTTCCGTGTGCCTTGACCATCTATGCCAATTAATTTATTCCTGCTGTGATGAGTTTCCAGCTTTGAATTGCTCCTGCTAACTGCAGTTGGAATTCTGTTTTATACATCCTGCATTTTTTCCCTTTATAGCTAAAAAAAAAAATTAGTTTGTGTGTGCCAAAAATAGCTATTTAAATACAGGGCTGGCCATTTTTTTTTAATAATACAGGAATTGATGAGTTGAATCTTGGAGCCAACAGGCAATTTTAAGGAGCCAGAGGACACATACTGCTCCTGATATTGACAGGTAACTCTTCAGAAAGTTAGGCGATTGGCTATCTGGTGGCTGTGATTTAAACAGTCCTTATATGGTAACCTTAATTTTTAGAACTATCAAAATGGAATGCATCCTGTCAAGTCAGACAGATCTTAAAGTATATCTAAAACCAAAAGATTTCTTACCTTAGGATAGTGTGCGGAAGTATTGAAAACTATATTACATTTTTATTGTCTGTGTCCCCCAATCAGATTTCCGAAGGTGAGTTGAACTCTATAGCCAATCTTTTGGTTGAGAGTTATATGAACATAGCTCAGAGATCCAGAAAGTAAAAGTAACCAAAGACATTGTAAATAAAACCCTAACCAAAAAAGCTAATGGGGTTTTAAGGTACCAAACCATATATAACAACAACTATACAAAAATAAGATAAAAGAGTTGAAGAAGTTTACCGCCTTTTATTAGTTAAAAAAACCACCATATTGGTGGGGCATGACAACACGACACATAGATCATAATAGGCCCAAATGTGTTGGACAGACAGTACTACAAAATGTAGCCTACTGACAATAAATCACAGATTGAAATAATGATACTCTTAGAATGATTAATGACATCTTTGGTGCCAATAAAATACTCTGTTAATTGCTTCACCATTTAAGTACAAGTGGATACTTTGTTCGTTACTCCAACAAGTTTTATGGGACAAAGCCTGCTTCTTCAGGGAGACAAAGTATACATTTAAAAAATAGAGAAAAAATAGGCCCAGAACACATTATGGATATATGACCCATTATAGTACATAGAATTAAAAAATAAAACAATGAAATAGAAGGCTAACCGCATTTACCGATTGGTGATATTGATGACCTCCCATAAGACCAGTGCATTACATATAGGGCATTTGATTCACACCTGGATAGACAGAGGCCCTCAGCTAAAGGTATAAAATTACCATTTCCAGCAAGATTAGGCAACAATGTCATGTCCATGTGATTCATCATTACGGCTAGCCCCTGTCGGAGGACCAGCTGGGGTAGACTAAAGGAACTCTCTTGATCCATATTGTTCCCCACTGGGACTGGCAGCCTCTTCCAGCACACCCTCCTCATTCTTGTGAACATTTATGTTCAGCAGAGCTGTATGTTTGTGTTTGTCAACCCTTCGGGCAATGGTCATGAGGGGTTGACAATCCAACTAGGGATGGTTGGATTGCGAATGTACATCTAATAGTTCATAGACATCTGTGGGCACCTTAAAGCGGAGTTCCACCTGAGAAAAAAAAAAGTCAGCATCTACAAAAACTGTAGCTGCTTACTCTTAAAATACAGCTACTTCCCTGTCCCTCGGTCCAGCGGTGTCCTCACCACCGTTGGTTTCACTGGCCGTCTTCTCTCCCTGGCGCCAGCATCTTCATTGTGGGCACCCGGCTGTGACAGCTTGCGGCTTGGGTGCCCACTGCGCATGTGCGAGAAGCGCTGTGCTTTGCAAATGGCCCCGTAGTCTTCTGGGACCTGTCACATGTCCCAGAAGACTATGGGAAGGGAGAAGGGGAGGACAACTTCCGCTTCTGATCGCCTAGGCGATCGCAATGGAAGTGGGAGCGAGTACCTGTCAAATTCGGGTGCCCCCACTTCCCAAAGGTGCCACTCCTTAATAGGGAGCAGGGGACAAAGGCTTAAAGCGGAATTTCTCCTTTTGGGTGGAGCTCCGCTTTAGGTTTCCTAGCAAACTTGACACTAAAATAAGCAACATGAGCAGTGGCAGACAATTTGCAGAGGCCCTCATGCAAAAAAACAAAACGTTTATGAAACCACTTTGACTGACATTATGGTTGCTCAACATATATACATTCTTTCTTATCATATTGCTACTTGGTTTGTCTGCCTCTATCAGGGTGTCTTTGATATGTAGTCCTGCAAGCACACTATACGTTAAAATGTTTAAAAGTACATTTTTGTTTTTTACTTTTTTGAGCCTTTTGCACTGTTTTGTATACTATTTTAGGCGCTGCCTAGTCTGTGTAAAAATTGTGTTACCTTTCCAACATGTGAAACTATATGAAACATCAATCCAAATTCAATGCTTCACTCATAAACACTACATACAAATATAAAAAATAATCAATGTTTTTATATTTGTATGTAGTATTTGTAGTGATGCATTGAATTTGGATTGATGTTTCATACAGGTTCACATGTTGGGAAGGTAACACAATTTTTGCACAGACTAGGCAGCACCTAAAATAGTATGTATAATGTAAAGGTACAGTACCCTGTTAGAGCTGCAGCCAGTCATATAGATAGAATCATACACATTTATTTTCTTTAATTTATATTTGAAAGATATTGGTCCTAAATGCAGGTAAATGACTTTTAATTTAAGCTTTTGTATTGTTGTCACAATTGCAGTTATCTTTTAAACCATTTCTTAGAAAGTTGTAGTTTTATCACTTTATTATTGTTTGAAAACAACTTGATCTGATGTATACCAAATTAGAAGAAGCAACAGTAGGACCAGTAAATTACAGTAAGGAGATTGTAGAAGGTGTATCAGAGAGGTTGTTAAAAAATGGGACTTGGGGCAGATTCACAGTATTGCATTTTTGTAAAATGCACCACAATGCACAGGTGTTTTAGTGTATGGCATTGAAAAAAAGTGGGTAGGTGCATTAATACCTCTGTTGCAGTGTGTTGACAGTCCATTCAAAATTAATGGGCTACCTTAAAGCAACATACATTTATCCATGTGTATTGACACAATAATGTGAATATTGCCCAATGGAAATATTAATTTTATCCTATTGATTTATATTATGTCAGGGCTGACTCAGGACAGTTTGCTGTACTACTGAATTTATTGACAATATCCTGTTGCCCACAAAGACTCCATTAAATCTTATCTGTCTAAACCCACTTATGTTTCCTGAACCTTGTTCATTTTTTTCCCATACTCCTCAGACATGTTTGTGATTTTGGTTTAATTCCTCAGCTATAGCCTTCAGCTGCTTTTACTTGCTGTCTTTGGCAGTTGATACAATTGCAGGTGATTTCTGATATATCAGACTTTGTATTTCTCATGCAAGATGTGGCTTTCCTTGGTGTCCTATTTTTTTTAATTATTTCCTCCATTCATAGGCACTGCAGCCTGGAGCACTTCAACCTTTACCAAAGAGGCCAGCACTTGAAAAAAGCAATGGGGCCACCACGGTGTTTTAACCCCAGTGTTTTCCACTACCAACAGGCTCTAGCAAATATGCAGTTACAGCAACCTGCATTTATCCCCACAGGTAAGAGACATACAACATCTCATAGTAAGTAATTCATCATATATCTGCTCTCATAGACAATGATGACATCAGAGCTCTGCTTAGCAAATAATTCTAGTGCATTAAAGTGGAACTCCAGCTAAAACTTTTAGTTTTGAACAGACTGGGGAAGGATTATAACCTTTGTCAGATTTTCATATATGAACTGGTAAAGCTTTCTCTACAGTCACCAGCACTGGAAGAAGGAAAAACATCTTTCCAACGGGGACACCAAAGAGCAGTGGTTTTAACCCTTGCATACCCTAGTATAATGGGGGTATTTTTTTTAGTCCGTTTTCCTGTTTGAGAGATTTGTCCTTACTTTCTGTCTCAGTGACATAGCAGTTTCCTCAATAATAACACCAACGGCAATCAAAACCTACAGTAACTCTTCCCTACACTATAAAATGTTTTGGCCTGAGATTCACTTTGGAAAAAGAGGTATTTATATTAAAATAGGAAGCTGCTTAAATTGCAAAATATAGCCAGCTAATTTAATTTTTTAAAATATTATTTTATCTTATAATAAAAGCAACTTAGTAGCTCTCACGTAACTGACTAAGGTATACTGATGTTTTCAGACACTTTAACTGTCTATTGTTAGTAGCTGTCTGTAAACAGTAATGTAGTCTAACCTGTATCAGCCTCTGTTCAACAGCAGTAACTGGGACCGCTAAAGATGGGAGGGAGGGTGTGGCTGTTAAATATGTAAACTATATTATTATTAGTGCGCAAAAATTACATACATGAGGCAGTCTGTCGATAGCCTTAACCATCTATCAATAACCTTAGTTTTTATATTTCTGAATCTCTTGTAGCATGGTTTTATTACCTGTTGCTCCTGCCAGTAGATCCATATTTTCCACTACCTTTTCTTTCAGTCCAAGCTGTCCAGCAAAAGTAGCAGTTGGAAGGTTACGACAAACCATTTAACACTACCAGGGGAGCTTTCAATGGTACCTATGGTTTAACCTTTTTTTCTAAAGGAAAAAGTAAAAATGCCGCTGTAGCTGCTTAAAAAGCATTAAGTGGAATTGGACTTGGTCACTTTAAGACTACTCTGTCAACAGGGTAACAACATTACTGTAAAGAAGTGGAAAACTATCAGACATACTAGCAGGATCAACTGGTATTGAAACTGTCAGAGAAGTGACTCAGGAAAACCAAACCTGCCACGGTAACATGGCAGACTGCATCAGATATGTTATTCTTTATTTTTATATTAATATCCATTTGGCACTGGAGATTTTGACATTAACATATTCTTACAATTAGTATAAAAACAGCAAAACCCGTTCTGCAGTCAGTTTTATTTTATTTCAGTGAAAACTTTAATGAGTTTCTCCTTTTGGAATATTTGTTTAGTGGTTTGCTTTGTGGACCTGGTAATGCGGAAAAGTCAGGCCCACCTTTACGATGGTTTTCCTTCCAGAGTTTACATTGTTAGTTGTGGCCTCCAGGTGGTAAAATTATATCCCTATTTACAACGCTGCAAATGTCAACCTGTGTTTCATTAGAAGTTTGTAGTTTATCATACTAATCGGAAAGGTTTGATGTCAAAGCTACATTTCCCCACCCCATCTGCAGTTAGCATGGCTGAATTTTGCAGTCAGCTGCTTTTTTTTATTTCCATGTAAAAGCCCAGATTAATAATATCTGTCACAGCTCTTTTTTCAGTTTTTGTTTTCAATAAAAGGTACACACAGAATTAAGAATAAAAGTAAAGGATTAGTGATTGGTGCATTATTCCAGAGCAGCCAATCTGAATGAATCTTTTATTGATCTGACTTCAGTAAGTCAGATGATTGGTTGCTGTGAATAACTTCTCTAGGCAAATCACTGCTGTTTGGGTCATGTTCTGTTAATCCTTTAAAAAATGTGCCAATATCAAAGTGAAACTCAAATGATCCATATAAGGATGCTAACACAGCTGATTTATTTTTGATGCAAATAATTCCATGGCTATTAGCATTATCCCCAGGCTTTGCTACCTAGTGAGTATCTGCCCTGGCACAGTATATAATTCAGGGTTCCTACTGGGTGCACATTTTTTTAGCTTGCAGCTTTAGCTTTAGCTTGCAGCTTCCAAAACAAGATGACTGCATTCAGATATTTCTAATGACAGGCTAACTTTAAGAAAAGCCATTTAGAATTTCATGGCATCAATTTAAACATTTTCATGAAGCTCAGCAGCACATTTCAGAGAGGGTAATGTAATATTTCATAAATTCATAGTGTATGTCTTACTCATTTTTATGTTGCCAAAAAATTAGAATTTTGCCGTTTAAAATGGTAAACATAAAGATCTTAATCTTGATTTTACATTAGCAGAATTGGAATCATCTGCATAATATAGGGACATAGAACGGCCAACACAGAGCTTAATGTCTGCAGAGGTCCAGCATGCGCTGAGACACAACATGTGATTGTAATTTTTATAAGTGGCCCTTTCACAAAAGTTTAAAGAAAAAGTAACAAATGTATGATAACCCTAAAAAAGATGAGATCACATGATACAAATATGTCATTTACAATTACCTTAGATTTTCATTATAGTAGACTAGAATTTGTCCATAGGTTTAGTAGAATATAAAAACATGAGATCTACACTGAGCTGTTGCATTAGGAGTGTTCATTTTCTGTCTTGAAAAGCTCCAGTAAGGAATGACACACATCATATCTGTGCTTATAACTGTATTGTGTTTGAAAATGTTTTAGTTTCCTTAATTATAATTAGCTTTTCCCTTTTTCTCTTTTTTGTTTTCTTTCTTTTCTTTTGATAATGCTGTCTTTGCTTTGCACTGTGATTGCATGCTGCTCCTGGTGTAACCTTCATGGTGATGTCACATGGCTTGCTGCTGCGATTCCTACCACGCTCCTCCAATCCACCATGTGTTGCTATGGTTACCATTAACCCTCCACCCTACTGTATGTCGCTTCCATGGTTCCCTCTTGAAAGTACCCATGATGCACGGTGCTACGCCCACCACTGTGTCTGCAGCAACAACACCTGCCACCAGCGTGCCCTTCGCTGCAACAGCTACAGCCAATCAGGTTTGGCCCTTTAAATAGCTTTATTTCACATGTAGTATCCTTGCCATATTGTACAAAACAGAGAATTAAATGCACCTTTAAAATAGGTGACATGCAAAGTGTGATTTTTTTTTTTCTGTTGAGTTATTGGATTTAATTATTCTTAGTAATCAGAATTCATATAGCAACATGACTTTTTTTTAATTGCAGGAAAGATATAATTGTGAAACCACATTTATCCTAGAGTGGATATAAGTTTGTGGTATATACAGACACTTAGCTTGAAAATCAGAGGCATTTCAGTGCGTCATGATGCTTAGGTAGATATAGGTTTAGATTTAGGTATACTATATTGCAAACCAAAGCTTTTTTCCTCTTCAGCTGTCAGCAGGGTCATTTTAACATATTAGACACCAGAGAGAACTAGTTACAGATTAGTTTGTCTTAGGTATTATTGTTTATATTATCATTTAGACATTAAGCAAATGTATAGCACAATTAAATCAAAAATCAATAAGATAACATGTTCTAATTTGTCCTTATTCAAGCATTATAACATAATTCATATCAGATTTGCATGTTACCATTAGGAGTCTATTTGCTAAGACTGGCATTCTGTGTACTTGTGCAATTTGTGTTAGTTTGAAACAGATCATTACATAGTCTTTCTGATCAGTTGCAGAGCTTTCTTCAGTTAAGTTGCCTCTTTGCACAGGTGTAAGCTGTCCTAGTTGTCACTATGGCGCAGCTGTCAGACGTCTTCTGCTTGTTGCTTTGTCCCAACATGCAACTGAGAAACCTGAGAAAGAGACCACTTACTAGGAAGCTTTGTATACTGTATATTACCCGATGATATGAGTGTAAACATTTTGTGCCCTCTCCCAAGATTTCTAAGGCAGTACATCTCAGTGATGTCACTTGTTCAAAAATGCAGATAGAGAAACTGACATTAAAGAACCACTAAACCTAAAACCTTCCTCAAAATTAAATGATGAGAAGCAGCTACAAACAGTCAACTACATGTAGAGATATAACCATGCCCATGCAGAAAATTAGATGTTTATTTGTACATCTCTGCTTGCAGCCTATTGTTTTATGGTAGTTGTTCAACCAAAAAAAAGAAAAGAAAACTAGACAAAAACTGCATCTACAAACTTTGTATTAATTGTCTGGAATTAATGGGTATATGCCAGACAACAAAACTATAACCTTAACCCCTTTTTGTGACTGCAAAGATATATTAGTATTGCTATTTACCATTTTCTGGTATCTGCCATGGAAGGCAAAAGGAGGAGCACTGACAATTGTTAGCTTTCTCTTTTAGGATTACTAGAAAGAAAATCAACCTCATGTTTGAAAATATCGTGCCCTGCTATATCCCCAGAAACTGTGAAATAATTTTACTTGTTGTTAAGACCTCTATTATATAAACTGGTTAATAAAAATATTGTAATGTATGTTTAGTGGCCCATTAATATAAATTAGATTCAATAAAAAAAAAAAAATAATTATCATCAATGTGGTTAGCTAAAGGTACCTATTTGAACATTAAGTAAAGAATATCTGTTCGTAAAGAAAAAAATTGTAACAAACACTTTGAAGTAGGTACTTAGATGTGCTTGCTTGTCCCTTTTTGTTGTCTTCTAGACTACCCGGGACACTCATTGACAATAGCTGAAGTCATGGTTCTGATGCGCCCCCCTGTCAGCTTCCCTTTTTGCAGTGGCTTGAGCCTCTTTACCCAACAGCTCACACTGCAGGGAACATTCCCAAGTGGCATCCTGGTATTTGCATTTACCTATCAGCATATACCTATCAGCACACCTAGAAGGTACAAGCAGGCATTTATAGGTTCCTTCTTTTTTACAGTTTGTTACATTTATTTTTTGTTTTCTTTAGTGACAGGTGTTTTAAAAGAAAACCAATGGTGACATGCTGCCATTGCTGATCTTCTGAAAATTTTGATAGCTCCACCTTCTCTGGCTTCAGACCGTGATCTGAAGCAAACAAGCAGATGAGGTCTGCTATCGCAGCCCCCACACACCAGGTTTCCTTTAAAAATACATACAATTTGAAATATATAGCAAACTGTGATCATGCATGCAATGGCACCTCTGTAATAAAAAGCAAATATTACAGCACACTATGGAAAAAATATCTACCACATTGTGAGACAGATGGCAGAATGAGCAGATGAAGCATGGACTGCTACTTAATAAGTGCTGCCTTAGCAAATAGACCCCACTTTGTCTCCAATTATCCTTCATTGAACAGGTGACCTAACCACGCATGCCCCAGCCACTCAAAGTGCTAGTCTGAACACATTACCTGGAACTTCCCACACTAAGCAGACAGTTGTGACTTACAGGTCACAGGTCTGATTTCACTCACCACCATGTAAGGCAGTCGGGGGCGTAACTGTATGTGATGGGGCCAAAGACAGTACTCTTTTTCTGCTTGGGCCCCATAACAACTGCATGGTCTACTATGACTATAGTTACACCCTTGAAGGCAATCATAGATAGCATTCTCTGCAAAAGAGATTTTAATTTCGAATCTTTTCCACTGTAGATGTCCCTATTTTCACTAGATGAACTGAATAACAGCATGTATGTATCACAGATGTTACCAGTAGAACAGTAAGTTTGTTTTCATCTCAACATTAAATATTTTGTAACATTTTATTTAAGTAATGACTGCCCCTGCTTGTATGAGTAGTGACAGGCAATCCGTCAGTTTTATATTTTGCCTATACATGTTATATTTACTAGCAGGCTTTGTATGGTGGCCATACACAGGCAGATCTTTCATTAAAACTGAAGTTTAGGTATGATTTTTATAACATAGTTACAATGGTCCAGCTTGGGGTCCAGTGCTGGCCGCCTGCCCTTCTGCATAGAACTCACAGGGGGTTGTCCGCTCAGCACTGCCGCCATTCAGAGAAAGCCATGTATTCTTTTCATTGAATACATTCTCTGATTAGATGTAGGCATTCTTTGATTGGACGTATTGGAGAGGCAGGATGGGGGATGTCAGTATCTTGACCTCTCCAAGTTCCTGACTTTTCATTTTTTACAACCCTGGGTGACATTTATCTTTAATTTATATGCAAAAGCAAAACTTAGATCCTGTGCCTCTGGTCTCACCCCTTTATTTGACATGACAACTATTGTCGCCAAGTAGGTAGAAATCCTAAATTTTAGAGTTGTCATAAGAGCAAGAAGTGATGGGGAATCTTCCAAAAGATGGGAGTAGTTCTCACTTTGGAAAGATTTTCTCTTACTCATTGTTTTGTTTCCAAGCCAAGAAAGTAAAGGGAAATCTCTGCAACAGAACAGGATAGAAAAAAGCCTGATTACTGATAGAGGTTTTAACCCTTCCCTACCATATCCAAAACAAAAAAAAGTTTTAGTGAAATGTTGTCTCACCTTGTTTCCATATTGATATATCTTATTCAACACTAGGTTTGAGTTGCGTGGTCACCTGTATTTTTTGTATTTTTCATATACAGGGAGAGCAACCTGGGCAGGTTGTATGCTATGTATAAAGGCAACCAATATATGTTCTGCTTAGTAGAACTAGGTTCCCCCCAAATTTTAGGAAGCGTTAGGCTCCATGTAAAAACATTCAGGTACGACTTTCATACACCTTTTGAGAATTAGCATTGAAGTCTGTGGCCCTCAAGTTGCATGAAAGTCGGACCAGAGTACAATTAACTACTTTGAAGTTGCTGCAACTTTAAGTTGCACATATATGAATGGTTATCATTGGAAAACATGGGGTACGACTTGTTGTGCGACTTTGATGTCCAAAGTCGCACAAGTGTAAATGGGGTCTTATGGTGATTAAACTCATCAGTATTCACTTAAAACTGAAATATCAGTTTTTGAGTGAACATTGAGTGAACCCTTTAATCCTTCAACACCTAATTCAAAGATTTTCATAAGCACCACCCAAACTGAAAAATCATTCTGTCTATGGCCAGCAGGGATAAAGGATGGGTTTATATTGTTATAGTCTATGATGGGTAGGTTTGCATTACTCATTAATTAAAATATGCTATTTAGAACATCAGGGAGCATATAGGAACTTGCGCTATATTGCTTTAACCATCGCAATGATTGGCTTAAAGGTTGCAACAGTTAAACGCTTTTATTTATCACAAAATTGCAGAATGTTGCCTTCATAATATGTTGCTTTGTGTTGCTTTCCATGTAAAAACTGAAATTAAACCTGTTTGCTGGATTCAAGATTTTTTTTTGTTCTAAAACACATTTTAAGTGATAACCAGTTTTCATCTGTAGAGTTTAAAATCCAGAATTTCAAATATTGTAGATGTGTTTTTCAAACATTCTCTCCCATGTTTGGTCTGAAAGTCTTTTGTGTATTCAATGGAGAAAGTGTATTGTTACAATAAGAGAGATTTATTCCAGGAAAATTCTATTTGACTTAGTAGGTGGAAAATCTTATCTTAATATTATGCTTCATTTCAAATGTGATTAAAGAAAGTTAAAGTTCAAACCAAGGATGTGATTCGAATGATTCTTGCAAGACACATAAAGCCTATATCTACCAAAAGTCAGTGAAGAAATCTTTAGGTGACTAAATAGACTGACATAGTTTTATATGTCTTGCAAACTCTAGTGACAAAATGTTATTATGAATGTAAAAGAAATGGTTAAAGCCTATGGCAGTAGTATCTGGGTGGGGCTAATTCATCAGGTGCAGATATCTCGAATTAGAGACCTTGGCCAAATTTTCCATGACACACACCTGATTTGTGATGGCTCAGGAGTTTGATATACCATTTCATCTACCCTGAAAGAAGCCCTACAAAACAAATTCTGGAAACTTCATTCCAACCATGTAGGCTGTAATTGAGGTGAAATGTTGTCATGGCAACACTGCCAAATTTAATTACACTATTCAAATGTAACTAAGAATCACATGTTCGATGTCAGATTTATTGCGCAAACCTATGTTTTACATCTATAAATTTAATAACTACTTTATACAATAATTGCTACAATAAGACTTCCCCTTACACCAGCAAAGGTACCTGCTGCTTGATTAGAACAAAAAAGTAGTAAATGATGATGTCATATCTAGTAATATGAAGAAAACATTTTGTAGTTCTCCCCATGTAAATTGATTTGCTTGCTGTAAGTGTTTTATTTTCCACCCATAAATAATTATTAGTTAAAAGCTGTACTCCAGGCCAACTTCTAAGAACAAATATAAAATATATGTGTTTTATCTGCCAAAGCATGTGTACTTCTGCCCATTCATTCCTTTGATGTACAGTATTTAGTCAGCCACCAATTGTGCAAGTTCTCCCACTTAAAAAGATGAGAGGGGCCTGTAATTGGCATCATAGGTAGATCTCAACTATGAGAGACAAAATGAGAAACAAAATCCAGACAATTACATTGGCTGATTTGGAAAGAATTTATTAGCAAATTATGGTGCAAATAAGTATTTTGTCACCTACAGACAAGCAAGATTTCTGGCTTTCACAGACCTGTACCTTCTTCTTTAAGAGGCTCCTCTGTCCTGCACTCATTACCTGTATCAATGGCACATGTTTGAACTTGTTATCAGTATAAAAGACACCTGTCCACAACCTCAAACAGTCACACTCCAAACTCCACTATGATGAAGACCAAAGAGCTTTCGAAGGACACCAGAAACAAAATTGTAGGCCTGCACCAGGCTGGGAAGACTGAATCTGTAATAGGCAAGCAGCTTGGTGTGAACAAATCAACTGTGGGAGCAATAATTAGAAAATGGAAGACATACAAGACCACTGATAATCTCCCTCGATCTGGGGCTCCATGCAAGATCTCACCCCATGGGGTCAAAATGATCACAAGAACGGTGAGCAAAAATCCCAGGACCACACAGGGGGACCTAGTGAATGACCTGCAGAGAGCTGGGACCAATGTAACAAAGGCTACCATCAGTAACACACTACGCTGCCAGGGACTCAGATCCTGCAGTGCCAGACGTGTCCGCCTGCTTAAGCCAGTACATGTCCGGGCCCGTCTAAAGTTTTGTGAGAGAGCATTTGGATGATCCAGAAGAGGATTGGGAGAATGTCATACGGTCAGATGAAACCAAAATAGAACTGTTTAGTAAAAACATAACTCGTCGTGTTTGGAGGAGAGAGAATGAATGCTGAGTTGCATCCAAAGAACACCATACCTACTGTGAAGCATGGGGGGTGGCAACATGATGCTTTGGGGCTGTTTCTCCACAAAGGGACCAGGACGACTGATCCATGTACAGGACAGAATGAATGGGGCCATGTATCGTGAGATTTTGAGTGGAAACCTCCTTCCATCAGCAAGGGCATTGAAGATGAAACGTGGCTGGGTCTTCCAACATGTCAATGATCCCAAACATACCGCCCGGGCAACAAAGGAGTGGCTTCGTAAGAAGCATTTCAAGGTCCTGGAGTGTCCTAGCCAGTCTCCAGATCTCAACCCCATAGAAAACCTTTGGAGGGAGTTTAAAGTCTGTGTTGCCCAGCGACAGCCCCAAAACATCACTGCTCTAGAGGAGATCTGCATGGAGGAATGGGCCAACATACCAGTAACAGTGTGTGCCGACCTTGTGAAGACTTACAGGAAACATTTGACCTCTGTCATTGCCAACAAAGGATATATAAAAAAGTATTGAGATGAACTTTTGATATTGACCAAATACTTATTTTCCACCATAATTTGCAAATAAATTCTTTCCAAATCGGCCAATGTGATTGTCTGGACTTTTTTTCTCATTTTGTCTCTCATAGTTGAGGTCTACCTATGATGCCAATTACAGGCCTCTCTCATCTTTTTAAGTGGGAGAACTTGCACAATTGGTGGCTGACTAAATACTTTTTGCCCCATTGTACACAGCCCTCTCATGCGGTTAACCTATTAGGGGACCCCACTTACAGTAAAGGAATACAGGGGTACACTCGCTCCACCCCCAGTTTGCTGACTGGATAAAAAAAAAGAGCAGCAATAAACCAGTGAAGTTATTTCTGTGTTACGTACTCTATCTTCCTATTGTATGTTTCTTGTCAACACATTTTCATGCAGCACACCTGATTGGCCCCCATTCCTGTACAATGTTGCTGTACAGTGGTTTGCAAGAAGCTGATAATATGTAAAATTCTGTACTTACAATAGTTGCATTTAAATAAATAGATTTTTTAAATGTATTGAAGAATACAGAGCTGCATTCATTTATGCTTTTTATATTTGCCTGGAATTCAGCTTTAACCCTTTAATAGAATGGATTCGATGTATGTACCAAAATGAGTCCATAGAGATACTTATATTACACAGTAAGTCAGAACCAAGAATTATTTTATAGACCAAGACACTTTTTAAAGTACATTCTGCTTGCAGAGTATTTGAAGGAAATTAATTATAATATATATATATATATATATATAATGTATATATGGTTAGATACTTTAGAGAAAATCTATCTAGATATCTAGTATTGGTCTCAGGGTTCTGTCTGCTAACTCCTATTCTTTGTTCTCTCTCTCCTTTCTAGTAGACCATGTTGAAATTCTGAACAGCAGAATTGTGGAATACCAGAATCTCTCCGTGGGAAGTTACACATGGCCTTTATGTAAATACCCATTACTGG